AGAAGCTTACAGACAAAAATTTAGGAAACAGAAGAAAATAGAAACTCAGACTTACGTAGAATTTGCTAGAGAGAAAGAAGACTTATTTGATAAGTGGTTTAGATCCAAAAAGTGTGAAAAGAATTTTGCAAATTTACGTCAGCTTATTCTAGTAGAAGAGTTTAAGGNGTCACCTTATCGCGAGAGCATGAGTATCTCGAGAGCGTTAGTTGAGACAGACGCTGGAAGTATGAACGGATAGGAGACTGTTTTTTTGTTTTGGGACTTTTGAAGGAGAATATTTTTATTTGGAACCTATTTACCACTGAACCGACACTCATATTTTCTACTGGAACTTGCATCGTAATTACTGTGGGATTTCATCGGACACTTTCACTGAACTTTGAGCCGATTTATCTCCACTCACTCTCCAGTCGATGGATTCACATCGGACTTTCACACAGGACACTTCATGCTTTCAGATAGGTTTATTTGTGTATTAAGAATAGCTTATTGTTATTGTCATTAGTTTATTTAGTTTTAATAAAATATTAAAACTTCTTTAAATCTTTTGTCATTGATTTTTGCTGGCATTGGGTACTCTGACCCGTAACACTAGACTGAAACACAGATGTAGGTTTAACGTTTGAAAACCAACCTTATGAGATTTTTGCTCACTTTCACTATTCACAGTTTGGCATATTTTAATTGTGATTTAATAAGTATTTACATGGGCCTCAAGTCCTGTGTTTACTACATTTTTATATACACAAGACATGTATTTCTTTATTGAAAACAGGTTATCATGTTGCTGTTAAGCATTTGGTAACAAAACATAAATATTATACTGTATCAAACATTTTGTGCTCTTCCATTTTTAAATGGCTTCGTTAATTTACCCCCAGTACAGCGATAGTAAACTGTTTTCATGTCAGGGTTTCCACCATGTGTTATTTATCTGTCTGTACACATGACAGCTTTTCTGCCTTGTCACTGATGTACGTACAGTATGTTCTCAGAAAAAAATCATCCTCCTTAAGAAGTCCAAATAAACCGGCGTGACGGGAAAAGCACGTTACATACACCTGTAGATTCATGTGTGGACATACAAAGACGTAGATGTCATATACAGCTACATGTTGATATCATAATGTGGTAGGTACTTATTGCAACAGAGACGATCATATTTTCCTCCAGGTGGCGTTATAGTACTTCCCAGTTTGTCAAACATGGCGAAAACTGTTCAGATGAAAGCAGTGAACCATTTTAGAATCGCCATTGACCTACATTACATTATTTCATTTTAGCTGTTTTCTTCTGGTTTCTTTTTTGGAATATATTTAACACAAATGCACTATATATACATATATATATATATATATATGCATTTTGATTTTAGTAAATTTTTAATCAAGTTTTGCTTGTCAGATAAGGGTGAGAGTTGAACAGAAAATCTTTAGCCCCTCCGCAATAAAGCAAATTGAACCTACTCTGCGAAGAGTTGTTACACCTTACGTGATCAGGGAGTGGATGCGAGGCGTTCTGGAAACTAAGTATACGAATATTTATGTTTCAACCAATTCGGTGTAACGTTTCAATGTATCAGTGTTAGGGATTTAATGTTCACTTATTTGTAATTAATTTTATAAGAAGTACTGTGACGCGTGCATGTATAAAAATGGCTTGGCCATTCCCCAGTGTTTCCCCCACAACATTTTGCTTCCTCCATTACTTCACCTTATCACGTCCTATGGAAATGACAATTATTTTGAACTTTGTTAGTAGAAAAGGTATCGTCAGTTAAAGACGTACCAGGAGTATATTTACAAGAAGCAGACAAAAAAGGGGAAATGCTGTGGAATCTCCCATTTAAATTCCTATTTATTGCAATGTAAATACTTGTAGTAAGCGGTTGGAGGTCGAAATAAAAAGAGCATAGCAGACAGTAGGTACACTGTATAAGTATTACACTTCCATTTCTAATTTCGGCACGATTTCACTAGTTCAGTTGTACTATTTCAGTCCGTTGAATATATAAGTTGAACTATACCTACACTGTACTGATTTTTGTATGACGGGAGCTTTAAAAATTGTGGGTTCACTGGTCAACCCTTCAAGGCATAGGGGGCGAACTGATAGCACAAAATACTGTTTCAAACAAATGTTAATCGTTCTGTCGATACATTAAGAATAAAGCATTGGGTATTAGAAACGTGGCATGTTTAAGACTGTGTGGTCGTCAGATACTGGTTTAGTTTATTTCAGTAAAGATATCTGCCCCTTATGCCTTTCAACGTGCTCTTTTTTCGTAAGACCTTCAAGTTTGCTGGCGTGGCCTTTGTTAAATGGTACTACAATAATGATTACCCTCTACCAGGGCCATAGATTGATTTTTCACTAGATACACGTTTTCACAGATATGTCGCTAGTTAAACAATGGGACTTTTCTGTCCTGCGTCAATCAGCGGCCCTGGGAGATTGTTGATTATTATACACGCGACCAAGAAAATTTGGAAACGTGAAATTGTTTTTCAGTAATAAAAAATGTGATATGTTGGGAAAATCTTGTTCTAATAAAGATTAACAAATTGTGGTTCATTATCCAACAATATTTGGTTAAAATATTTACCGTAACTAAATGTGGTTATTTTATAACTATTCAAAATAACGACGTTTCCGAACTTTTTAGGGCGAAAGTACCAGCAAGGTAACGAGTGGTGACTTGGCGTTACGTTGTCGTGCGAATAAAGTATGCACAAATATGGAAACTTTTGATCGTCGAGATCATCGTTTTTTTCATAAGACAAAAGTGAATGTTTTGAAAGATCATTTGGAAGTGTCAATGATTTACTGATGTATTTTCCCAACAGCGATTTTCATGATATGTTCCTTTTTCCACGTTTTATGCTATGGTAATAATAAATCAAATGAATCATGTAAATGTAGAAATAGCCACAAGTTATTGATCTTATTAGGCAGTGACGCACGCACTTCGTGTAATAATTGATGAACTGCTTGATATCTCTTTAATTTGTGTCAATTTCTCAAATTTGTTCTGATTTTTAAAAAATATTTGTAGATATTTATAACACCAAACCATAAACGAGTAGTTAAATTGACCGTTTATTGGTGAAATGCAATACATGTGTTGTATATGTTACACTTTGGAAAATTTGGCTTTGTCTTACATGCATGTCTTACGGATATTCAAAGTGATTAAAGGGATAATAACTCTTTGTAAGAGGTCTATATTTCACAATAAAAACATTGTGAATAACTCATAGAAATATAATATATTCTGTTTTACGACAAAAAACAGCAGTTAAAGCTATTATTCTGATATCCGAGCTTGTCTTCAGACCACGTGACCTCCATTGATGGCTATGCTCTGTTATAATCTCTTAAGAGATTTTAACAAAAAACCAAACTTTTTAGAAAAAAACCAGGGACTAACTTTGAATGTAAAAATGGATTCATTAACTATTGGTAAGAACGGGAAAATTGTTGTTTACTCCAGGAAAATTCATTTTTTGGCCAAAACGAAGAGTTATTATCCCTTTAAGTAGTTATTTAAGTGTTCTTAAACTTGGTAGTTTTACAATAAAATACTTAAATATAATTAATACGTAGTTGTTTGGCACTAAATAAAGACTTTCCAAATATACAAAATGTCTTAGTTATTTCTTTCACGGTTGCGTTTCTCAGCTGTTTCTCTTCTAGGGTTGGGCTTCAAACTTGGCTTACGTTTCTAAAATTTCTTTAATGTATTGGGATTTTTTAGAAGTTAACTTTGGTTACTACAATAATTTCATTCACTCAGTGGGTTCGTTTCCTGGTTTGGGAACTTGGAAATCATTGAATACTTTTCAAGGGGCTTTACAGAAATTTCCCTTTGGTTACTATAAGAGGAAAGTCTTCACAGGGAGGGTGGGTGGGAACACTTAGAGGAATAGGTAACGCGCTTGCCTCAGAGTTAGAAAGTCACAAGTTCGAAACCTGGCGCTCCTGGGTCCCAGCAAATTACCTTTTGCAAAAAAATATTCAAATAAGCAAGGTAAACTAATACAAGAGGCTCTCTAGGTAAGACCTGTGCACTGGAGAAAGAATTCAAGGGAAAGAAGGTGAAAAATGAAAAGGAATTTAACATACAAATATCTGTACATTATTTTCATTATTTATTGTTTCAACAAATTCCAAGTAATTTCAACGAAGTTGTATACAAAACAAAATATGTGATGTTGTGTTTTTTTCTATGTTGATACCAGTCATTACAATGGCGTCAAATTTCTAAAAAAAATTCTATAAATGATGCTTTTACAAAAAAAATACAAGAAATCTACCAGACAGACTAAGTAACACATATAAAGGATTTTATGCACTTTGGAAATTGCTGCTCAAACAACAAATTCTATTTATAACTCTTACCAAAACAAAATTCATATAAAAAATTGACCAGGACTAGTACATGTAGGTAACCTCACGTGCATTCGCACTTATGCACATAATCATTTTTAAGAATCGAGTGTTTTACGTTATTTTGTTTTCATTTCATTACATCCTTAATATTGGTAGGTTAATGGCACGACTTTGAGTGAAAACTTAAAACACACAAATTAACAATGCTGATAAATTTGGGTGGCCCCAAGAAGGGACAATTTTTATCACGAGGGTAACATGTATTCCCCTACTGCAATAACGAATGCGCAGTAATTTCGTGAAAATCCCTATTTCTCTCCTGGTTTCATTTTCTTAACATTGTTTTAGACCCATCCCAGCACAATACATGTGTATCTGTCACTGATCAGACAAAATATCAAAACACCGAAACCAAAGTAAGTTCATTCTTAACATGTGTCACAAAAGTATGTCCGCAATTTAAAGAAGGATCGTTTCTTATACATGGGCAATTCTGCAATCACGTGGACAAATTTTATCTTTTTCATAACGCTATAATTCCCAAAGCATTATAACTTGAAGTACAGTGTTTGTAAGTTAAATGAACAACTTGTTCTTTTCTCAAACTTAACGGTCAATATATGTAACCGTTTGTTTCTCAAAAGTTTCATGTAATAAAGTTGAGATATTTTTCTTCTTGAAATTTCTCAGAATTCAATTCAATTCAAAATAAATATTTAAAATATCCTCAAATGCACAGCTAAGTGGCCGATTGAAGATTTGCCCACAGATAAATTTTACCTTCAACTAGAAGGAACAGGAACAGTATTCTACCTAAATTCGCCTTATAATGATAATAACTATCATTTTTGTTTTAATCCATCACTTCAGCAAATACTTTTTGAATTAAAATTATTTTCTTAAAGGTGAACTCAAAAAAGTACCGTATTTTTGTTTGAGAACTGATGGGTACCTCCCCCTGACACAATAATAAATATACATAATAAATAAAATACCTTGAAACGATATGAGCTGATAGAGTACTGTACTACAATTTAGAAACAAATCTGTAATATATATCGACGATATCCATTTCTTTCTTTTTCTCTGATCAGAAGTTTCATTAAAAAATTCTTGCTGCGTGCAACAATTATTTTGATACTCGTTTTATGCAGAATATTATTATCCAAGGCAAAGATTACATTTCACACCAAATGTCAATCCTGCAAATAAGCTATAAGACAAACTTCAACAAGCGAGACAATCTTGGAATGGGTGCAGGCGATGTCCAACATGAATCTGATGTCTTTGATCGGCGATGCATCCAATCATCCGGTAAACAGCAGTAGGGAGCCACTGAAATAAACGAAGAAAATCACATTCATGACACGGTTTGATGAAGCAGCATGTATATCTTTACAGCATGCTATTTTGGAACACATGCGATTATGTTAACAAAACACTATTGTGCCATTTCTATTCTTTTCTACCCTGTGCACACTGTTTAATGACAACATACTTCTTTGCACACATATGTAAGATGCGGTATGAAAGGAGCTATTTACGAAAATGAAAGTCAGTGAATGAAAACATTTGGCAGATGGGTCCAATTAGTATAAAATTGACAGTATTAGTATAAAAAAGACATTATATAGGCACGTTTTGACTGACCAAGCCACGTTTTTCAGGCGGAGGGGGCGAGAATACGAGGATACATTAGCTGGATTTCGTCTAGTTTCATGCCATGTACAATATTTTTGCGCTTTTGATTTGTTCTTGTTCCTGTTTTGATTAGTTATTTTGTAATGGAGAAGGGATACTTCTTAAAGGGAGGGACACCGTGGCCCCGTTCACCACCCCACCCCTCCCCTCCTTAAACTGTCCCGTCGTTTCCAGGAATGTAATGACACAATAGTTCAACATCTTATTAATGAATGTGCATTTGTCTGTATAAAGTTTACTTTTATAAACCAGATATTTTGATACTTTGAAGACATGTCAATGACCTTGACAATAAAACAATTAAGAGAATGCAGATACCTGCCCAGTCGTCTTACTTGTTGAGGACTTGTTCAGACCTTTTGACAGCTGCAATAAGCCTCTCACTTCCTCATTGGCAAGTGCGTTCCTTCCCTGAAACTACAGAAAATAAATCATTCAAACTTTGAGCTGATTTTGAAATTCTAATGGAGAGTGTATTGGACATAAGTGCAATGTTCCCATAGTCATAAGAACTAAAATGTCCCTGTGCGAAACGCATCATCTGGGCAATTGTCGTCAACACAAAATACACAACGTTATCTTATATCATCTATGCAATACTACGGCAACTTCCTGCCATTTTCTGTGCTAAATTTTTGGCCTACATGTGGAAATTGCAGCAATATACCAAGGTCTTCTGTCTTCTCCATCTTCTACTGACCTTGGTCCTACCTGAACACCTATCACCGAAATGCTCACCTGTATTACATAATAATGTACAGGTCACCCGCTTTTTGAACGCAAGTTTCGATTTAAAATATTTTTTGTTATTTGGTATGGCGCTAGGGGTCCTAATCCCGCGATGGTGATTTAGGCTTTCTACCATCATAATGGCAAAAATAATAATATCTTATCAACCATTAAGTTTGATATCAAATAATTTGGCTATGTTTCACCCCCCCCCCCCCCAAAAAAAGTCACCTGTACCGATTGTATTAGAGAAGACAAGATGCGTTTTTTGTTAACCCGATTTGTATAGAACGTTAAAATTAGTGACAGCGTTCATTAGGACCTAGAGTGAGTACAGCTTAGTTAACTAGAGTTCTCACAGCTAGGATTGACTTAACAGATGTGTTTTATAAAGTACATAAAAAACTAATACTAACTCAGACTAGGTGTAAATGTTCTCACCTCCCTCGGGAGGATACAGCCCAGAGAGAGTACCATTGAGTGATTACAATTCACGGGAAATAAAATTATCAATTCACAAATCACAGTAAATAAAACTTAATTCAAATTGCACTGAAAATGCGCGTCAAAAATCACGAATCACCGGTTATAACGACTTTCTTTCACGAATAACGGAGAAAAAAGTCACGAGTCAAAGGAATGGGGTGCTTCATGCTAAATAAAATGAGCGTTTCTCGAATCTTGGGCAGTAAATAGTGGCTTTCACAGGTAAGGAAAATACCCAGCCTAGTTTTTTTCAATCTTATCACTGGTCCATACATTCAAATTAGCGACACATAGAAGGAATGACAGTAAATAAAAATATGCTTTATGAAGTTTCAAAAAATTTCAAACTTAGCAAGTACTGCTAAATTTATTACTGGAAATTGTTGTTGATTACTTTCATCTACATGACTTTATTCTTTTTCCTGTCACAAGAGACAGTCTTTCAAGAATACACCTGTAAAGTTCTATTTTGTTCCTGTTATTTGAAAGCATTTCCCCTGAGGAAATGTAATCTCCTTCCTCTTTTTCCGAAAAATTTTTTAAAAAATTTAAAGAAGTTCCACTATGCATTCATTCCGGAATTTCTTCAAGTAATGTTGTTTTGAAGATGACACCTAGCTCCATCACCCCATATTTTCCTCCCTATTGTTTCTTTCTACACTGAAGGGGGGGGGGGGAGGATGTTTCCACATTTCTTTGTACATGGTATTCAATACTGGAAAATTTAACTTGAAAAGTGTTCTTAATTGTTTACACCTACATCTGTATATGGCTTCATTCTTTGTTTTTTCCTGTCACAAGGGGCAATCTTTCAAGAATATATCTGTAACAGTTTGTTTCTGTGATTTGAAAGCATTATCCCCTAGGAAATATAATTGTTCTTCCTCTTTTTACAAAATCTGTAATTTTTTTTAAAGAAATTGTTGAGAACAGAGAATTCTGAAAAGTTCTTATGTACTGTAGCTGCTGTCATGGTACCCTCTACCAGTCGACAGATTGTTTTTTCACAGATACTCACAAATGTCGCAAGATAAATAGTCATTTTGGTCTGGATTTTCCCGTTTTTCCCTATATAATCTGCCACCCTGGTAGAGGGTACTGTCATGGTATCTTTCTCTTATTAACCTATTTGGGGGCTAGGGACAATAATCTAACCAAACCGAAATGGTGCATACCGTAACCTGTTGCGTGGCGTTCGATGTTAATACTTAATAAAAAAAAGCCACTATGTATCTTCTTCAGGGGCGGATCCAGGATTATTTTAAGGGGGGGGGGGGTCCGGTTTGCAGGACTGACAGGCCGCGGATGCTTTGGCGTGGGACTCGGGGCCCGCCGTAAAAAATTGGTATTTTAGAGGGCGAACGGTGCCTTTCGGTACTGTTTAGAACTATGATTCAGTAAGTCAAAATTCCAATTTCAAGTGGGTCCATTGGTGTGGTTTTTTTTTCAGAAATCGAAGGGAGGTCACGACCCCCTGACACCCCCCGTAAAAGCGCCACTGTTCTTAAACAGCATTTTTACTTGATATTATTATTAGATTATATTTTTTCCATATTATTTCAGATATAATAATAATAATAATAATAATAATAATAATAATAATAATAATAATAATACAATAAATAGATATGTGCTTGGCACTTTAGATCAATCGAGTGTGACTCATTATATAAGATATTAATTACATTAAGAAGAGTTTGATGAGTTCGATTTTAGTTTTCATCATCAATATCAAGATCTAATTGTAAAAAAATTTTCCGCATGCTGATGCAAATATCCCAGCGAATAACCAAGATTCCAGCAACCTCGAAGTTGTAGGTGATGAACAGACTCCCCAGATCAAACCCGTCACCTCTGCCGATGCAAGCACAACCTGGCGCGCAAGGCTGCTATAAAACTAGTGGTCGGTGTTCAATCCTCGTGTAACAATGTAAATATTTTTGTTGGTAATGTGTCCCCTGTAAATGATGTTTATGATATGGTAGCTCGTGTTTCAAGCATCGGGATAGACGGGGTTTCCTGCAGACTGGTGTCTGAGAAGTACGGTAAAAAATCTTTCGTCATTAAGATACCAGCAGTGTATAAAAAGCTTGTTTTGAACACTGACAACTGGAATGACAATATATCCAGACCTTTCGTAACAATAATGCAACAAGACCCCCCACCCACACACGAAGGGATAACCGTAAGCACCCAAACGTCAGGCCAGGGAGGCATGGCGGTGACTACAGCGTCTCACAAAGCCACTACTCGGGCTACACGGGCAACGTAATTCACCCGACACCTACCACCGCTATTATGGAGAGGACAGCAGGAGACGGTCCGACGAGTGGGAGACGACACACCGATACAACTACGGCAACGGAAGGGACTACGACAAATATAAGGAGAGATCACATAGGTACAAATCTCACGGGAGACAGCAATCCTCACGATATGCGAGAAACTAATTCTACTAAAAGTAATGTTGGGTCACAAAAATTGAAAATATACAACAGATTATTGTCGAGAGTTTTAACTGTAAGGTCCTGAAGAGCTCAGTTGATTACTTACAAGATAGGTTAGAGTCTTGTGACATACTATGCCTATCTGAAACCTGGCTAAGGCCACATGGAATCTCTCTCCTCCTAACTCCAGGTACATTCAAAACTTATGGGAAAAGTGCAATGGGAGAGCTAGACTTTCCTTACTCTGGCCGACCCTTTGGTGGTGTATCTTTAATCGCGAGACAGATGTCAAACGTTGCGATAAGTGAACTGGTAGTTGATAGTAAAAAAATATGTGCTATTAGAGTTTTTGATTCCACCGGTAATATAGTTCTAGTAGCGGCACCAGTTTATATGCCATGCTTTGAATGTGGTAATGGGACTAGTACAGAGGAGTATATAGATACCATCACCTGCCTTCATTCTCTAATAGAAAAATATGCATCATCTGCGCCCACTGTGCTCTGTGGTGACCTTAATGCCCAGCTGCCCACAGATAAGGACATGTACTTACGATGGTACAAGGACAAACGCTTTAATGACTACAGTGGTATATTACACGACTTCATCCTGGAAAATTGTCTCACACCTGCGGACTTGTTTTTGACCCAAGCGCTTAAAGGGGAATACAACTTTCTGGGGTACTAAATTCAATAAAATCCGACCCCCCCCTCTTCTCTCTAGATCTGCCCATCACGTTTTACCCACTGTAAGCGTAAGCCTAATTTTAGGGGGGTGATTATCCTGTGATGACGTCATTGTATTCCCCTTTAATTACACTTACTTTTGTACCCCGAGGGATGTCTATTCGTGGATAGACCACATTCTAGTATCAGCGTCAGGCATGGAAGACGTGACCACATGTAAAATCATAGGCACTGATCAGGGAAATTTATCTGACCACCTACCCCTCCGTTTGTGTATTAAGATGATGATTAATGGATCCACAACCCCCGTGACCGGCGCAGCCAAACACCATACCCTCAATTGGAACAATGGCTCTAATAATGCAGCATATTTTCAGATAGTAAATGTAAAAAAATTGAACAGCTGCCTGTAAAGTTGCAGGCGTTTGAATCGCTACAGAGAACGAGATCAACGGTGTACTGACCGGCCTAAGCAACATTTTCCGTGAAGCAGCTAGAGAGGCTGGATGCGCAGTACACAATAAATCTTCACTCAGGATCAACTACGAGAAAAGAAAAAACTCTGGTGGCATATCTGGACGTCAAATGGCCGTCCTCGGAAAGGCGTAATTTATGACTGTTATAAAAACGCTAAACGTTTGTTCAGAAGCTTCAACTCTGAAATTAATGAAATGAATTATCTATTTTATGCCAGGAACAAAAATAGCTAAGGAGGAGGGACTCTGTAAAGCCAAATTCGAACTGCTACTCAATTTGCCGAATCTTATAAAGGGATTGTGACGGACAGTGAGGACCTGAGCTCAGAGCAAGCTCATGTCTCTTCGGTTGTTGAGACGCGCTACAAATCATTACTTGGTTCTCGGCTGACTGCAATTTAGCGTGAACCCCAAGGGAGTTAGGTCGATCTAAATCTAAATCTCTGGATTGATCTAAATCTCTGGAAATGCACCCTAAAAGCCTGGTCTAAACCCAAACCATTCGGAGAACTACCGGCCAATCACCGCCAGCACTACGTACTCGAAACTTATTGAGTCCATAATCCTCTCCAGTGTGCCCTATACCCAGTTTGGGTCAAAGGAAGGGATAGGAACGGACGTCGCTTGCAGCTTCTTAAATGATATTATGTGCACTGTGAAAGACGGTGACTCGCCCTTATACATGTATATGTGCAACCTCAACGCCGAAAAATGCTTCGATATGATTTGGCACAATGGACTATTCTATAAACTGTTTGATGTTCTCCCCGATTCGCATTGGTTATATCTTTATAAATTGTATAAGAGTTTAAGTGCTTCAATAAGGTGGGGAGGCTCATATAGTGCTAATTTTAAAATTATCCGGGGAACAAGGCAGGGTAGTATTTTATCCCCGATCCTTTTTAACATTTTATTGACGAGCTGCTGAAGGAATTA